AGTGGTACATGTCATCTCTACGTCAGATCCAGACTTTGCTCCGTTGGTCCAGAAACATTGGAATGAAAGGACTAAATTATCTGGCTTTCCTCATCCCTTCCGTCTTCTCCCATTCTCTAGGTGTGTGGGTCAGGCAGGGCCAGGGTAACCACCGTAAACAATCCCATTTGGGAAATGGAAAAAGGCAGTCACTGCTTATTGGTCATTTGAAATTATCTTGGTCAGACACTGTGAATGTCTCTGGCCCTGAAGGTGAGGAATATTCCTTGATTAGGCCCTGAATCTGATTTCTGCAAGGAGCACCTTGTCCAGAGTGCTCTCTGTTCACTCCCTTGAATGTATCTGAAGTGGTATTGGAAAATGTGTTCTCTTTGGGGGCTGCTCAGCTTTCGCAGCTTTCTATCTGTAAAAGCATGGGGGTCAAATGTCATTTTAAGGCAGTCCTTCTCAACCTGGGTGCTGTTGACATTTTAGATGAATAAATTTTTTTGAGGTACTGTTTTAATAGCATTCCTGCCCTCTGCTCACTAGATGCAGTGGTGCTCCCCAGTGCGACAACCAGAAATGTGTCCAGACAGTGCCAAATGTCCTGTGAGGGTGCAATTCGAGAACCACTGTTTTAAGGCCAGAAGAGCCACGGAATTATGGAGGTGTTTGTGATAGTATATCTCTCAGAGACTTAGGAGGCTTTTATCTTTTTAATTACAGTTCTTTTCTAAGCACATTTGTTAGCTTGCTGGACTTAATGTATTACTTTAAGCTTTCAGCCTTCTGTTAGCAAGTTTGAAGCAGTTTCAAAAGAGTTTGCAAGTCTTTTTTGTCAAGGGCTTTGAGAATTATGTGAAAATGATGCTTCAGAAAGAAATCCAAGGCATCGGTGGCTTAAACCAGCATATGCTGCGAACTCGGTCTACAGGTTGGCTGTGTGGCACTGCTCCAGGTCCTGGGGTCAGGCTCGGTGTGCACCACGGTCGGGTTTCATCGTCTGGGCCACTTTTCACCCGGTGAGCCACAAGAGTTTGCAACACGTGCGGTCCCTGACTGTTCAGTCACCCCGCTGACCTCTTCTCCCACAGACTGTCAAATGAAAGAATGACAACAGCTAACACAATAGCTGTCCACTGTGAATGAATCAAAATTATACCTTTTTTTTACCATATTTTTTTTATATGCTGCAGAATTTTAGTAATTAGTTATGTGTGTCATGAGATGAAAAAGGTTGAAAATCGCTGGTTGGGCTGAAGGGGTGCCTTCCTCAGGCTCATTCTTTTCTCATGGTGAAAGATAGAAGAGCAAGAGCCAAGCTGAAGCTAGCAGGCCCGTCTGAAACCTGTCTTCAGACTTGCTGGACATCACCTGTCCTCACATCCCGCCGCCTGCAAGCAGCCAGCTGCCAGGCCCTTGTAGGTGGAAGGGTACGCTGGGCCGCGGGGAAGACAGATCTGTTGAACACTCTGCCCTTTTTTCTTTTTAAGTGTCTGGTAGCTTTTAGCTTTTCCAGAATGGCAAGGCCCTGAAATTCTACTCTGTTCCCTTTCATTTCTACTTTTAAAGTAGCCAGTTCTTTCTAATGCATCCAGTAGCCACCAACACATGCACTCAGGTTTTACTCTCCAGTCGCTTCTGGAGTGGTTCAGCACACTCATCCGTAAAGGCAAGTCCAGACAATAAATATTTTAGGCTTTGCAGATGATACAGTCTCTGTTACAGCAACACAGCTTTGCTAGTGTAACACAAATATAGCCATAGACAGTAGGCAACTGAATGATTGTGGCTGTATTCCAATAAAACTTTCTTCCAGGCAGGCCTTCATTGGCCAGCCCGTTCTCGAGCTTCCGGCTCCTCATGCATTGCTGTGTACACTCTATCACTTTTCAAACTCTCCTGGAATTCCTCTGGTGCCTGCTGCTCACCTGCTAAGCTGTGATCCTGGGTGTGAGAGCAGAACCACACTCCGGGTCGCAGTTCTACTGTTGTCACAATAGATCAGGGAGGGGAAGAGCAGTGCCCTGTGTTCACTGCACCGCAGTCCCACTTCTGAGCCACGTGCTGGTTTCCCGCCACAGTTCTCAGGTGTCTGGACCTCAGCCGGAGTCCCACAGTTTAACTCCGTTCTCACACTGTCTACCTGGAGACAGCATCAGCTCCCACAGTTGAATAGCTCAGCCCCAGAGACTGCCCCACTTCAGATGCCAATCACAAACCCAGGTTTTTACTTTGATTCTGACCTACTCGCTATAATTCAGAAGTTCCCATGACTCCCTACTCTGGTTCTATCAATTGGCTAGAACTGCTCACAGATCTCAGGAAAACATTGCACTTAGTAGACTACTAGTTTTTTACAAAAGGCATAAGTCAGGAAAAGCCAAATGGAGAGATGCATAAGGCAAAGTATGTGGGAAGGGGTTCGGAGCGTCCAGGTCCTTTCTGGGTGCCTCTCCCCAAATCTTCACATGTTCACCAGTCCACATCATGGAATCCTGTCCTTTGGTGTTTTCATGGAAGCTTCATGGCCTCCATAGGCATGTTGACTAAATCATCGGCCATTGGTGATTGAACTTAATCTCTAGCTGTGGTGTGAGGATGGGCTGAAAGGTCCAGCCTCAGATCACATCGGTTCCATCGGCAACCAGCCCCACTCTTCTGGGCTTTCCAAGTCACTTCACTAACATAAACTCAGGGCCAGTGAAGGGCTATTTACAAATAACAAAAACATTGTTTTTGCCTTTATTACTATTATCACTTAAGAAATTCTTGGCACTGGCCGGTGTGGCTTAGTTGGTTGTGTGTCCTCCAAGTACACTGAACTATTCATTTTGATTTCTGGTCAGGGCACATGTCCAGTCTGTAGGAGAGAACCAATTGATGTTTCTCTCTCACATGATGTTTCTCTATCTAAAAATAATAAAAAAATATAATTTAAAAAAAAAATTTTTAAATTTTTTCTTATTCTTACTCGAGGACATTTTTGCATTTATCTTCAGATAGAGCGGGAGGGAAAGAGGGAGGAAGAGAGAGATAGAGAAACATCGATGTGAGAGAGACACATTGACTGGTTGCCACCCATACAACCCCAACTAGGGCCGGGTAGAAACCGCAACCAAGGTACGTGCCCTTAGCGGGAACTGAACCCAGGACTCCCTGGTCCATGGGCCGATGCTCTAACTGCTGAGTCAAACTGGCCAGGGCAATAAAATATATTTTTAAAAAAGAAATCCTAAAATTTTTAGGAGCTCAGTCTCGGTAATTGAGACAAAGTCCAAATATATATTCATTGTAAATCACAATATCACAACCAGGCTGTGCTAGAAAACAAACCCTGGATTCTCAGTAACTTAACAACTAAGCTTTATCTCCCACCTTGCATGCCCAGTGCAGGTCATGGTAGGTGAGGACTCTGCTTGACAAGATGCTCAGCAACCCAGAATGACGGAGGCCCGCTGCCTGGCATGGTGCCAATCCCCAAAGCAGGGAAGGGACAGCAGGATGCCCTTCTGTTTGCTCCCACCACATCCCATTTCCCCGGAACTGACCAGTTAGGCTGGCCTGGCCCCTGCCTCCTTGAGGGGAGGCCAGAAAGTCTGTGGGAGAGAAGGCGGAATACTAGATTAGTTCCACTGCCTCTGCACAAACCCATGTGGATTCAGTTCTTCCCCGTGGCTCTGACATCTGGAGAAAGGCACATACTGATGCACAGGATAGATTCCGGGGGATATTCTTTGAGGCATTTTTGGACAGTTTTTTCTTTAAACAGATCTATTTTTTAAAGTGTATTTTGTATTTAATTTCCAAAATAAAGTGTTTAAGGCTAGAATCTTATTTCTACATGAGAATGCAGCAGTATAAAGTGTCATTAATTTTTAACCAAGACAGTAGACATTGATATGGTATCAAAGCTTGTAATCTTTATTCTTGAACATGCAGTGTTGCTTCACTGTTACTGTATTTTGGAAATAGTGACAACATTATATTTAGAGAATAGCAATAATGAAAATTGTTATCTTCTGTTTCACTAATCCTGTTGATTTCTAATTTTAATTTGATAAAAGCCTTAAGTTATCTATCTTCTAAAACCATCCATGATTGCCTATGAAAATATGCTAAAGACAGCATACAGTCCTTTTTGGATAGAGACATTTAAAAAGTAGTCATTACCTTTCCGGCCACTGGTACCAGTCAGTAATTGACGTGTTTGTATTGTGGGTATGTGCTTGCTTTCTTTGGTCCCTTGGTTCATAACAGGTTTCATGGGAGCTACCAGGCAAATGGGCTGTACTTGAAGCCATGAGTGTTTGTGCTGCTGCCTTCCTTTCAGTGATCACAGGACAGAGTTCCTTAAGGTGGGGTTAGTGGAAAATTCTCCACAAAGACATCATGTAGCAGCTGCAAGTCATTTTATAGATTAGTAGCACCAAGATAATGTCCTCCTCTGTGAGCAGACAAAATTTTAGGAACCAATCTGTGTGATTGCGTGGGAAATCAGTGGTGGAAAGACTGCTGAGGACTAGCTCAGTCCTGTGGACTTGACACCTGCCGATTGCTGCTTGACTGACACAGAAGGCCCGTCGTTGATTTGTAATAGCTCGATAAATTCCACTGTGTCTTTAAAAATTAGTTTTTTAAACGTTGGTTATTTGCTATACAAGTGAATATAAATGTTAACTGAAGTTCTCTTTTCCTTTTATATCAGTTATGTGAGCTTTTAGATGCCTTTCTAAATCGCTTTTATTCCACTTGATCGAAAATTACTAGCTAATCGTAATTTCTACCAAGTAAAGCATTACTAAATTCTCTAGTAACTGTATGTATTCATGAGTTAAAATGCCGTCAAGCTAATTCCTCTAATTTGCCTATTAACGATGAATCTGTGCAGTGATACCAATTATGGTGAGAGATATAAACAATTAGCATGAATTGTTTTACCAGTGATCTGATAACTTGTGAACTGCAAAATATTTGTATATGTTATAGCAGTCATTTTTTATTTTTATTTTTTGAAGGACTTAAAGCCCAGTAACATAGTAGTAAAATCAGACTGCACTTTGAAGATTCTTGACTTTGGACTGGCCAGGACTGCAGGAACTAGTTTTATGATGACACCTTACGTAGTGACTCGCTACTACAGAGCACCTGAAGTCATCCTAGGGATGGGCTACAAAGAAAACGGTCAGCAAACATTTACTTGAAATACTGTTCTGTTTTATCAGATTTCTTATGTAAATACTTAAGCTGAAGTGCATAAATATATGTCACTGTTTGAAATATTTTATCAAGAGTTTGCAAGTAACTATACATTTTTGTCATAAATGTTGGAAAAACTTAGGGCCTCTGTTTATTTAAATACAAATCCATAACCATCAACACTTCCATTGGATAAAGAATTTGTTGCCATAGCCCCTGAAATTTGCTTTCCTATAACTTGAAAATGAGTATTTCTAACATGGCCTCAAGGAAGTATATATAGTAGACAAAGTGTATCTTCTGTGGGAATCCTAGTTTGTTGTTAGTGATGTTCGCACCTATTCCCAACTCCCTGAAACTAGAATTACAAGCAGAGGCACTTCTTGTAAACTCTTAAGAGCTAGGATAAGGCCATCTGCAAAACCCATGGAGAACTAGGGTGACCTTTGGTAGGAAACAGTGTTTCATCCAAAGCCCTGTGTCCAGCTGTCAAGAAATGGCAGTATTCAGCATTACAATCGAGGTAGAATAAAATTATCAGGCATGTAGTTCATGAATTAAAAGAAATTTACATAGCCCTGGTTGGTTTGGCTCAGCGGTTGGAGCATCGGCCTGCGGACCAGAGAGTCCTGGGTTCGACCCCCGCTAGGGGCACGTACCATAAATAAATACAAACAAACAAACAAGAACCATTCCCATGTGGCCAGCCTTTAAAAAAAAAAGAAACTTACATATTTGTATATGTTTAAGAAGAAATTTTATTGATTCTCAGTAGGTGAATGAATAAGTCTGCACAGGACTTTATTGTCTTAAACTGTAACTTTTAAAATATGGTAGCTTCACCCATGATACTCCCGGGAATAGGGCCCAGGTGTTTTCCCAGCAAGGATTCTGGAGCGGGCCCTTCACTTTGAATTAAGAAACTATATTATGTTAATCTTCTTGATTCATTTTTATAAAAGATAACATTGAACTGAGGATTTTAGCTTAATATTTTTTTCTTTTCTGAGCTTACTAAAACCAAATACTTTAAATATTTACTATTATTATTATGTTCTTAAATAAACAGCCTGTTTTGTTTTCTTATTGTCTGCCTAAAATTGTCTTATATCCTGTAGAATCTAGTGAGTTAGACTTAGTATTAGACTCATTGAGGTTTTGTTATTGTTGTTTTTTGGGTTTTGGGTTTGGTTTTTTTTTTTTGGTTATTTTTCTTTTGAGAACTGATGCAAGTGACCAACATGAAGATTGCTTTTGCATTTGCTGTAAAACCATTGGTTGTCTCAGATACTGTGTAATGTGTCATTCAGTGTCCTATAAATGTGATTTGGGGAGGTAGCTCCCTGCCAGAAATTAGCACCAAAATATATATATATATTGACGTGTTTTCCTGTCTTAGATAAGAATTATGTAGATCGCCTCATGGCCTTTTTTTTTTTTTTTTTGGCTCAGGAAACCGAATCAAATGTAATGCTAGTTACAGTAACTGCATTCGCCTTCCAAGTTAAACAAGAATTTCTCCTTTTTGTGACACTCCCCTTCCCGCCCATCCTCACCTGTTTTAACAACTTTGTCTTTCCTTTGCCTTTTATTGCAAGCTATCTCAAAGCTTTTTGGAAAGTATGATACAATGGAATATGTTTAAACTGCCCACTAGGCTAAGCAGTAGACCCTTTACCGCTAGTTTCTCAGGTGAACCAGCAGGTCGTCGTTGGTCCAGACAAGGACTGCTCCCAGCCTGCTGCTTTCGGAACCTGTTTGGAATATGCTGCATTTCTCGTCACGTTTCCTGCATACCTTCTGTCCCGAGTATTTAAGTGAAGTTTGCCATTCTCTCTAAAATCTGTAGGGAAAATTCATTGTAATCGATTTTTACCAAAAATGAAAACCCTGGAAAAAATGTTTCTCTGAATTGATTTATGAATATTAACTTTAAAATTTTATCTTTGAAAGTTCAATCATACCATAAATATAAAAACATTTGCCTTTGTTTTAATTAAATTGTAGAGAAACTTTTATTCCAAAGGACTTCCAGAATTTATTTTCAGTTCAGCCCTAAGCTTCTGTGATGAACTGGCAATCTTATGAGAATGTACCAGAAAGTACCTTAGATTTCCTGAGTCCTCCAACATGGGTGAAGGTATATCTCTCTCCAACATAAATTTCTGCATTTTTCTTTTTTTACTCTTAAAGAATTTGGACCTTCAGCCCAGCAAGTGTGGCCCATGGATTGAGCGTCGTCCCAGGTCCCGGTTCAATACCCAGTCTGGGCACACACCTGGCTCAGTCCCCAGGGGCTGCAGGAGGCAGCTGATAGATGTAGCTCTCTCACATCGATGTTTCTCTCTCTCTCTCTAAAAATTAATAAAAACATTAAAAAAAAAAAAAAAAACAATTTAGACCTGTTTCAGGCTTCAAAAACAAATGCACATTTCTGAGACTTTCCTTGTGAATTGCTCAGTCATCCCCTCTCCTCCTGTTAAACTGCAAACACCTGTTCTTGTTTTATCAGATTTCTAAATCCAAAGATAAAAATGTCAGGGTGGATTGTCAGTTCTAATGAAACTGGTGGAGATCTTCAAATTGCCCATTTCTGTGTCTAGCAGATTTTTTCAGCATTGATTAGAGTTCCCATTGAAGTGGGAATTTTCATACTGTGTTCAGCCAAAACTAACATCTTAAATCAAAAGCAAGTTAGTTTTATGGATCTAAACACTTTAGGTGGAAATCATGGTTTATACCTTTTCTTACCTACTTTTCTTACCTGATCATTTGTTCATTGTCTGTCGCATGTCAGGTAGCATGGCATTGCCAAGGACACAAATGCCTTGCAATTCAGAATAAATGTAGCATTACTCAACAAAATGATGAAATTCAGACTGAAAATTTCTAAAGGGCTTTAGGTTAATTTTAACTGTAATTATTCATAGAAGTACATGTTTTCTGTCAAATATTTAACATAGTAGATTATTTCTGCTCATGCTTTTTTTTTTATTTCACTTAAAGAGAGAGCATAATGCACAGTTGAACCTCAAAATAGAGTCAAGGTTTTATTTTAAAAATATTTCTACCTCACATATATTTTCAACCTTATTTACAAAGTTTGTGTGTGGTTCTATTTTATATTTTGTAAACAAATTTTCAATAACAAAATGTATAGGATTTTAAATCGTGATTTCTGTGCATAGCTCTCACTTTAAAATTAGATGTAGAGTTAAAAGGCCACACTTCACGTTTGCTTTTGTGAATCAAAGCTTTTTGAAAAATATTTGTGTTTTAAATTATTCCATTAGCTAAAATTAAAATCACTTTTTCTTTTTGTGATGTTTTGTAGTTTTTATATAATGCAGTCATATTATGCTTCTTTGATTTTAATGACCTTTTGCTTTGCTTTTCCTTCTTTTGTGCTGCAAACATATAGTGGATTTATGGTCTGTGGGGTGCATTATGGGAGAAATGGTTTGCCACAAAATCCTCTTTCCAGGAAGGGACTGTATCCTTGTGCTGCTGCAGCAGTGAAATTACTTAGCTGATGGACGTCTTCATGTTCTCAGTGAAGATGAGTGTGGTCATTCGTACATGGGGTCTAACAGACAGAGTCTGTGGTGGTGCAGTTCACACCCGTGGAGCCGAGACGCTGGGATGCTTGGGGGCTGCGTCTGGCAGCAGGACATACAGTCTCTGCTGGTAGTCAGAGCACATTCACTGTCACTCACTTTGTTTTACCCTGCTTTCTATGATTTCACAGTGTACATGGTGTGTGTGATTTTCTTTTAATGTTTATATATTTTTTTTATTTCAACCAAAATCTTTATGTTAATGTCATTGCATTTTGTTTTCAGTTGACATTTGGTCAGTTGGGTGCATCATGGGAGAAATGATCAAAGGTGGTGTTTTGTTCCCAGGTACAGATCGTATCCTTATCTTTGGCCTAAAGCGTAGTCTTTAAAGGTCAAAATGCATGACAGCACTTCAGCTAGGTCAAGCACAGCGTATTTCGTCTCCCTGATAATATCGTTAAATCACTCTGCTCTTGCAAATACCACCTGCTAGTGCCGTAGACTCTCCTCTCCCTCACTTACTGACTGTGTCATGTGATTTCTGAGAACTGCTCAAGTTAATTGTCCATGACTGCTTGCTGGCTTCGAGATGATTTATTTCGCCTAAATTAAAAATCATGGCTTGCATTAAAACTTTCTAATAATTATACACTTGATTAAGTCTAGAAGTACTTAGGACTTTAATATGAATTTTGGAATTGTCTTGCCTCTGGTCATCCTGTTGTTTTACCCACTGCCCCGACCTCCTTTTTCGTTAATGTTTTTTGCGTTTTGTGTCTTTGGGTTACTGTCTCATTTCTCAACATAACATACTGCTCTTTTTATCTGAAAATTATATCAGTAATAGTTTTATTATGGTGTAAGTAGATTTGGATTCATGCTTTTTGTTTACCTGACTACTTTTAATATTTATGTCACCAGTGAGTGATCTGTTATATGTTTATCAGCCAGCAACACTGAGACTGATTTTAGGAGGAGGTGTGGGAAAAGCCAGGCGCACTAGGTTACAGGAAGAGCTTTAGTTCTTCGTCTGCAGGGAGGGCTGGGAGTAGGAAGACTGAGGAGGAAGGAGACTAGGGGATTGTAACCTCACACCTGACGAAACACTGATTCATCTCCACAGGCTTCAGAGCTTTAAGACGCTTGTATTAACTTAGCTGAACAACGCAAGACAAACAAAGTGCCACGCCCATCCGCCCCCACGTGCACCATTGTTTTCTGTAGTGTGGAATGTTTTACAAAGGACAGATTAGAAGAAATGGTTTTTAGCCTCTAGGATATGCATTCACATTTTTCTGATAAGCTAGAAGAAAAGGCAAATTTTGTATTCTACAATTGTGTATAGTTTGCAGGTAGTAATTACATTATTTTTTTGAGTCACTTGTCATTTGTATTTGGAATTGGTTAGTTTGAGCTTTCATTTTTATGATAAAATCAGTATTAGACACATACACACAAATATACACACTCTCTTTAAATCAGGTTAACAGCGCTTATTTACTGATCCTTTCTGTCTGCCTCTTGCAAGGTGGCTGTAAGATACACATTCTTTCTTAGGGTTTTGTAATTGTTATTTTCTTGTTATTTTAATATGGCTATGACTAATGTGTGAACATTAGATACGGAGTATTTTTCTTAGCTACTTGATATTAGATATTGATCAGTGGAATAAAGTTATTGAACAGCTTGGAACACCCTGTCCTGAATTCATGAAGAAACTACAGCCAACAGTAAGGACTTACGTTGAAAACAGACCTAAATATGCTGGATATAGCTTTGAGAAGCTCTTCCCCGATGTACTTTTCCCTGCCGACTCGGAACACAACAAACTTAAAGGTACTTTTTATGAATATATATATTTAATCCTAATTGTAAGTGTGTGTGTGTGTTCATGTTATTATAGAACATAGCCCAAGGTTATTTCTGGGTGATGGAACAAAGTATAAGGTTTTAGTTATTTCTTTTTCTTTTTCATTATATGTATAACCTTATTTTATAGAAAAGTCTTTTTTTAAAAAACACATACTTTTTAATAAATGATCATTTCAAGTTTCTGAAATGTATTGCTAATTTAAAAACCTTTACAAGATACATGTACATTAACATCATTATTTTTGCAGCCAGTCAGGCGAGGGATTTGTTATCCAAAATGCTGGTGATTGACGCATCTAAAAGGATCTCTGTGGACGAAGCTCTGCAGCACCCGTACATCAATGTCTGGTATGACCCTTCCGAGGCAGAGGCTGTAAGTTCTTCCGGTGTTTGAAGAAGATGTTGCCCCTTAGAATTAGAAGTTAGGTTTGGAGCAGACTATTTCATTTTAAGTAAAAATATTGATAAATGATGATGTTTTTCTGTTTTTGCATTAAAAGTACCTTAAGTTAAAGAGCATGTCACAGCACCTCCTACATAAAATAAGTCACCTCTCAGTTCTTGCTTTCGTGCTTGACACTTGATCTGATGAGCTGGAGCCCTGGGCGCTTTGGAGAACATCCGAACTTGGTTATAAGACAATGTGGTGTCCGAAGCACAGCCCAATTCTAGGATGTCAGTAAAATGTGATCATTTCAGAAGCTGGAGGAAAAGATAAAGATAGTTAAACATGTTTTTCCTGTCATGAAGCAGTTTTCCAAAGCTAGTCTCTGTGCATTAGTCTTGGTCTAATAATGTGTTTTTACCAGCCCTTTCTGTCTGGCTAATCATTCAAACAATTAAAACGAATGCATGTACTCCGAGGCAGCTGGCTCAGTCACTGTGCCTTCTGTTTGCAGCCTCCGCCGAAGATCCCCGACAAGCAGCTGGACGAGCGGGAGCACACCGTGGAAGAGTGGAAAGGTACGCCGGCCTCGGGCCGCACCCGCCGGCCCCAGTCAGCGCGCTAGGGCGCGAGGGGTGCTTTGTACTGGGCATGACTCATGCTTGGTAACATGCTTGTAATATTTTTTGCAAAAATAGGAAGTAGGTCTCCTTTCCTCCCTGACTTAATCCTAACCTCTCGATAACTACCCCCGACACAGAAACATCAGTTCTCTCTGGAATTTTTGTTCTTCCATAGTCTGCAGACACACAGCATGTTTGTTTGGGTCTCCCCCTTCTCCTCTCCCGCCTCGTTTGTGTCCCAGTGGGTGTTCACTCTGCACACTGGCTCTGCTGGTGGAGCCACGTCACAGCGGTTGTCCTCGTGGCGCACCCCTGGCTCGTTGGTGTGCAGGTGTGCGCTGTTCGCGATTTCTGTACCGAAGCCACTCGACCGCGCCACCAACAGCTGCAGTGCTCTCGTGCACATGAGAGCCTGGCAGTCGGCCAGTCCTACGGGGTTTGCTGGGCCAGAGGCTGTTACTCAGTTCTTCCCAGGTCACCCCTCAGCACTGCAGGGGTGTCTGTTCCCCCACCCTCACCAACGGAATGATTCATCTTTGCAAATCGAACATAGCAGTTCTAGTGTATGAAGGTGGTTGAACATTAATAATGTTTTGATAGTCATGGAAATATTTCTTTCTTTAAAAGATTCCCTGAGATATTTAGGCCAGGTAATTTTTAGATCCTGTTTACCTCATTTGTGGTGTTGTCATTTAGTGTTGGGACCACTTTTGTAGCTACATTACTTTGGGCAATTCACTTGACCCTTTTGACCTGAATGTAAATAACTGGGCACAGAAGACTTATTACTAAGAACTACATACCTAAATACTGGGAAGGCAGAAGGGACTAGAGAGAGAGAAAACCGAGACAGTAATCCATCTATAAATTTATTCTGGAGGAATGGATTTGACTCTTTCTTCTTAGGAATAACCAGAGATTAGGTTTCTCTGAGTTAACTTTGGGAGTCATGTAGTTAGACTTTGTAGAGTCCACTAGAATGACAGACTTGGGTAGAACCTAATACCTTTGTAAATCTAATACGTAATATACAAGGATATAACTGTGGGCCAGAGTATGTATTAAAATATATAACCTGAGATTTTTATACTTTATTTACAGTAGACATTTATGGTATCTCGTGGACTCTTAATAGGCCACCAATTGTGAACACACCAAAGCATGACTAAGAGGGACACTGCCAGTGGCGCTGACCATGGCCGAAGGTCCAGCCCAGCTTCAGAGACACTGAACCAAGAACACGCTTCTTACAATCAGTGAAACCTGGGGGTTTGTTTGTGTGAGGGTAGAGCTGGGCGTCGAGTGCTGGGCCATACTTGCCGTTGCCCTGTGCAGTCCCTGCTGCCCCGCGCTGTGCAGCGGTTCCCTCCACGCTGGGAAGTTAGCGTCATGACACACAGGAACGTCCATGGCCAGAGCCACCAACTGCAGAGCGCTTTGCTTAGGTGGTACCGCTGCTTAGCCATGGTTCTTCCGTAATCCCTTTTCATAAAGTTTTCTCATTTTAAAAAAATCCTCTTATCTGAAATGCTTATCATTCCTTTTTGTTTCTTTGAAGAAAAGCATCTTCCATTCTTCCTCTGTCAGGACTTCCTGTTTTTTTTTCTCCACGCCCAACAAGGTGACCACAAGTCAAGTCAGGTTAGGTGCATCTAGCACTTGGTCAGTCCCACACGTCCACTCGTGTCACCTCACCAACGTAAGCGCGGCCCCACCTTGTCGTCGCAGACTCTCTATCAAAGATTAATTCACAGAATTGCAGGCTCCTTAAAACTCTGTGCAACATTTTGTGCTTGTACATTTTTCTCAGAAGAGGGTTCATTACTTTTATGCAATTCTTAAATTATTCCATGACCCGAAAGGATGATGAATAATGGCTCTGTAGCCTCCGCCAGAAGGTTCTTAGACATTCGAGTCACAAGGCTCATCACACTTGGCAGCAGGGTCACTGCAAAGAATACGGGGCAAGAGAGCTGCGCCGGCGGGATGGCATCGGTGCAGCGCCTGAGGCCGACAGTGCCAGCAGTCCCTCTGTCCACGGCGAGAAGGAGCGGGTTCCCGAGGACAACCCCGCGCAGGGACAGCCTGTCGCGCTGCAGCTCCTACGGGTTTCCAGCGCAGCCATCTGCTGCTTTTCCTTTGAGAACAGTGTGTTTATACACCATTCTGTTCCAGAGGCTGTCACACCCTCTCACCGAAGTCTTTTAACAGGTATCTGGGTAAGGTCAGCACCTGCAGTGTACCAGGTCCTATCCAGAACTAGAAGTTAATAAGACAGATGTGGTTGGAGCTCTCCTGAGACTGCATTCAACCAGCATTTGTAGTGCAGTACGATATGTGGTCTGACATGGATACAGAGCGCTGGCGGAGTTGACGAGACACAGCTGCGAATCACAGCTCTATCCTTAATCCAACTGTAGGAACACCTGTGAGGTAGCTGTGTTGTTTCTTTCAACATAATTCACGGCTGAGGATCAAGGAATTGTTTTAACATCTTTGAATCTTAGGCTGACAGAGATCCGCTGCCATTGGAGGGTACGATTTGGAAGACTAAGTGTGCAAAAAATATTTATTTACAACATGCATATCCTGTGAGATTGGCTCTCAGACTTTGAAAAGTTTGTTTTTGTTCACCTCTTTTTCAGAATTGATATACAAGGAAGTTATGGACTTGGAGGAGAGAACCAAGAATGGAGTCATACGGGGGCAGCCCTCTCCTTTAGGTTGGTTACAATATAAGCTTGGTTAAGGTTGCAGTTAACTTCTTGTGTTGTAATCTTCAGTGGCCTGAATCTGCAGTTCTTTTCATATTTACTACCATCATTATGCACAGTTTAATAAGCACAAGGAGTGCGGTCGGGGTGGTGAGATCAGAAGACATTGGGGTGCTGTTGCACCAGTGCATCAGTAACCGGCTTTGTCAAGTCCCATCATTTTCTGTGACTGACATTCCATTGAAGAACAGAAATGTGTATATTGGCTTTATTGTCTTGTCTTTAAAGAAGAAATGCTCACACTTCAGTATGATTTTAACAGTCTTTACTTTGTGTAAGTAAAGCTTAAGCTTCTTTGCAGAATTTGGTACGTGTGATACCACGTTACCATCTTTGTCTTTCGGGTATTTTTGATTTGTTGATCTAAGGCAGTAACATTAGAACTGCCATTAGAAGGTGGTAGGAATTAAACATTTTCTTTCATCATAAGCTCGTATGTAACTTCACACTTGTAAACGCGTAAAGAATCAGGACAGTGGGTGGCAGGCAGCGTGTGCATGTTGAGTCCATCGCTGCACGACAGACACTGGTGGTCTTTGCACTTTGTCCCATTCAGCCCTCAAGACCTCAAAGGGGAGGGATTGTTATGCACACTTTACAGATGAGGGAACTAAAATTCAGAAAAGTTACATGACAAGACTGCAAATCGACTGTGCAGAAAGGTAATACTTGAAGCTACGGTCATCAGGACCTTGGAAGGGTGTGGTCTCCCAGCGTCCCATACGTCCTCTGGCTGGGAAGGCTCTTTCTGGCTACAGAGGTTGGGGCAATTTTATGGAAGAGTTGAAATCTGAGCTGAGCCTTGAAGGCTGGGTAGCATTTCAACAGATAGGTCTTGAATTTGAGTAAAACTATTTTACTCAAATTCCCTCATAAACTCTTCTACATTCTAAGAAAAAATTGGATATTATATTTGTTTATGGGTAAAATTTTTAACTATAGTTTCACATGCCCATTTTGTAATATTGTAAATACATATTTGTTTAAGTAATTTTTGTATCTTCCTATGACATTTTTTTCTTTATTGATTTTAGAGAGAGAGGAAGGGAAAGGGAGAGATAGAAACATCAATGAGAGAACATTGATCGGCTGCCTCCTGCATGCCCCCCACTGGGGGTCAGGCCCACAACCTGGGCATGTGCCCTGACCAGGAATCGAGCCAGTGACCTCTTGGTGCATGGGTCAGCACTCAGCCACTGGGCCATACCGGCTGGGCACTTCCTATAACATTTTTAATTACAATTTAAAGTTTTTAAAATTTTTTGTTTTGTTATATCCTTGATCAGGAATGCAGTTTTCCAAATTATAATATTGATCCTGTTGAATATGTAAATTGCTTTCAACAGCTTTTACTTAGAATTTAGTTCTAATAAAGCTATATTATAAATGCTTTAATAGCAAAGGTAATTAGCTTGCGTTGATAAACCGTCGTGTAACTGAATGCTTGAGTGGCATTTGAAAAGTCCACCCTGCGGTCTACTGTTCTGGGGAGCAGCACACCTCAAGTGTTGCATGTTCGAGTGAACTTAGCAGCCTCTGTAGATAGAGCGGCTGTATTTGTTCTTGATTTTTAAAAGTGAAATGTTTGGCTCCTAAACAATACTTGACTATAGTTACAAGGGAAATCAACGGAAAGGACAGGACTTCAGGTTTTGGACATGTTCTAGATTCTCACTGCTTGCAAAGAAGAATGTTGGTAAAGCTGTTATAAAAATATTCTATTCTCAATTATGTACAGAGATAGAAGGAACAGTATTTGACATCAAAGTATCAGATAAGCACAATATCATTTCTACTTGATTTTTAAAAATGAAACATTATCAGATTAAGAAATTTGGACAAAAAGATATTTGGCTAAAAAAATAGAGGCATGAAAAAGTATATATGGTAGAACCCTTTTATGAATTGAATGTTTCTCTACAAGTCCTTGAAGTGAGCAATTGTAGTTCGATACTCTTCAGTCACAGCAGACACATCCAATAGTGTTGTATGGACAGAACGTTTTTAGAAGTATAATGTCTTCATTTCACTTCGGCTGGGACCTAGTGGAGCTCTCTCGGGTCTAAAAGGTTCACATTTCTCCTTTTCTTCTCGCCTTTCAAGGCCTGAAGTGCTCAGTCTGCTTTTCTTTTCTCCGCTGCACTGCTAACGGCCCGCTCTGCCCGCGGCTCCACTCTTTCTGTCTCCCAGCCCCTTCCCGGCACCTCGCGACTTGCCTGTTCCTGCTCCCCTGGCTCTTTTCTTGTTGCGTTTTAAGACTGTCTCTCAGGGGACCTTTCATGTTTAAGTTTTTAAAACTCGTCATGAAACAAGATAGAGGGATAGTTTCAAACACTGTGATTCTGGGTTCTGGAGCAGTGGTTTTCAACCTGCTTACTTTTTAGCATCTTTGGGTGCCTGAAACTCACCCCTAAAAGTTTTTCTTCTTGCTCATTTTGGAAACCATTGCTTTTATTCTACAAATGTGTTCTTAAGAACTTGTGTACAACTTGCATTATTTTATATACTCAAATTTGGAACGACCCTTATTTAGTGATCATGAAGTTCATAAGTACTTACCAAGTGCATGAATAATCTGTAACACATTCTTTGCCCCCAGTGCCATTTCCCCCCTTGCCAACCTCAAGATTTTCCTTTAGGTTAAGGACAGGCAGACCTCAGGTATATTGCAGGTTTGGGTCCAGACCACTGTAACAAAGCAAGTATCGCAATAAAGCAAGTTTTAATCTTATTGCCAGTGGAGGGTCTTGCCTTCATTTTGTTAAAACAAAACAAAACAAAAAAATGCAGTGTCCACAAAGTGCAATAAAGTGAACGTGCAGTAAAATAAGACATGCCTGCATTCCTGTTATTTTTTAAAATTCAGGAAATTCTTATTAGGCTATACTTTTGGTGAAGGTAACAGTCTTCCCCACTTTTATCTGTTTAACAAATTTATGTTTGCATTTATCAAGTATTTATTAGAATAGAAATTACAAGACCCGGGTTTACCTAACTAGTGCACTCAGTTGACCATGGCACGTCATGTAACCTCTTGTAAATTGGGGCACTTGAACTAAAGACCCTTTCAATTGAAATTATTTCGATCTTTGTTTTGGCTTTTGCTTAAAACAAGATGTACCAGAAGTTTTGTCTGGACTTGACAGTTAGAAGATACCATAAATCGCTATTTATTAGGGCAGTGGTTTTTACCTTTTTGAGTCATACGTCACTTTGAGATCTTCTTTCCAACAAAATGCAAGACAGTTTTGCATGTATTATTGTAACCGAACAAAAAACAGAGGTTCAATTGCCTGCCGCAATGAAAGCCAAATACTTGAGGTAGGTGCTGGTGCAAAAGGAAAAGGTTTCATTCAGGACCCGGGAGAATGGTGGACTCCTGTCGCAGAAACCATCCTCTTCCATCTCAGAGACCATCTCTCTTTTTGTCGAGTTCTTAATAGGGATAAGGAAGGGAAGGCTTTTTTGTATTCATTCATCTTCCTAGATTTTGTATGCTTGGGGGCCCTTTCCTTTTATATTTCTAGCTTTTGACTTACACAGGCCCTATCCATTCTATTTCTAGCTTTTGGCCCCTCAGGACATCCATTCATCTTTCTAGCCTTTGGCATGCTCAGTGTAAGAACCTCCCTCTGCACCATCTCGGGCAGTGGGGAGCCTCCCCAGTGCTCCTTGACTGTTTATAGTAACAGGGCTCCCCTTCAAAGCTCTGGACCCTTGCAATCTTACACGGGTAAATGGATGAAGGTCTCATCTTCTGTAGTTTCCTCCTGCGGTCAAAGGGCGTAGTCTTACCTGTCCCTGGGTCCAGAGAGTCTTGCTGTCTACTGAAAGAAGACGCAGGTCAAGAGTGGAGGGAAGCCTTCCCAGGAGGAGGAGGACTGCTCTTTGGACGGCGGAGTACGCGGTGTCTCGAGGGGGGCACTGCTGAACGAGCGGAGCTGGTGGACGGCGCATATTTCAGGAGGTGGTGGTGCAGGTGGGCTTCCCGGTGAGACCTGTTGTGCAGACAAACAATCAAGTACTTAGTGAGGGGTATGCCTCATCGTGCAGGGGAATTCTAGTGAAATCAGAAACTGGAGGGACTGGAGGATTCCTGTTATCTAATCCTGAGCAAGGCTTTGAATGGTGCACCCAACAGCAGGATGAATGTGCTGAGGAAGCCACTGTCTGGGAGATTAGAATAAAGTGAAGGAGTGTGTTGTCAGCAGGACGTCACAGGGACCGATCTGTTGCTTGGCCAACTGCTGTTCAGGACCTTGAGTCTTCCAGGTCTCTAGTAAGACTTGTCTCCATCGGGAACAAGATGTAAGGGCTTGTCAGACGGGTAGATAGACCTGCAGTGAGCAAACTTGCCCAAAGTTGTTGATGTTTGCCTTAAGTGTTGTACATGTTGTTTGATTTCTGATTCATGTTCAAAAGGGCTTAATTTAAGCCCACTTCACGGTGCTGCCCTCATTGGGAGCAAGGCAACAGGGAACGCCTGGCCCCGTTTGCAGGCTTGGATAGTCTTCTGAGTAACCCAGTGTAAAGGAGGGCCCTTCAGATGTGGTCCAGTGAGGTCCATTGAAGCCTCTTTTAGGACCTGGTGTGGTATGAGGACTGTGATGGGTTGCCCCAGAGTGAATCTCTCTGTCTCCTGTAAGATGTCATAGGTAGCTGTTGTTGCCTAGGGACATGGTGGCCATCTTTCTTGTGATCTAGTTTCTTTGAGAGACAGGCTGAGGGGTATTTTGCAGGGTCTGGGTTAGCACCACAAGTTCAGTTCCTTGCCTTTTATGAATGTGTAATATGAAAGGTTTCTGTAAATTGGGCACTCCTAGTGCAGGGATCGAAACGAGTTTTTCCTTCAAGGTGTCAATGCTGCCTGACAATCTCTTGTCCAGTCAAGAGGTTCAGAGTCTAATCCTTTAAAAAATTTATACAGTGATTTTGCTATAAGGCCAGAGTTTGGAATCCAAATTTGGCAAAACCCTGTAATCTCTAAGAATCCGCGAAGCTGCCTCGTTCTCTGGGATTCTTATTGTAGCGATGGGTTGTTTTCAGTCAGCCATCAAGCTCCTAGTGCCTGTTGCAGTCGGAACCCCAGGTGTGCCACCTCCTGTGTGCAAAGCTGCCCTTGTGGGCGATACTTTGTATCCTCTTCCTGCCAAAGGTTCGGGCTGTGATGTGTTGAGCAAGCATCTTCGCCAGCACTGCTAGCCACCAGCAGGTGGTCTGCTCACTGGGGAATTCCTGATCTCAATTAAATATCCCTTAAATCTTTTGCTCATATTTCCACAAATATGATTGGGGAATCCTTAAATCCTTGTGGCAACACAGTCCGACAGTACTGGAGCCTGGCGTCCGTTTCTGGGTCCTGCCATTCAAAGGCAAACAGTAGTCGAGCCTGTTCGTCTATTGGGATGCAGAAAAACTCATCCTTCAAGTCCAGGACGGAAAACCACTCGCTGCCCCTGGGCACCATGGTCAACAAAGTATAAGGGTTGGGCACCACGGGATGAATGACAACGTCCTTCATGGCCGTAAGGTCCTGTACAAATCGACATTCAGCCGAGAGAGGCTGTTTGACCAGCAGCATGGGGTGTGGCAGGGAGACTGGCCAACTTAATCCCGGTTTTACCAATTTCTGCAGCACCGCTCGGATTCCCTCTAGAGCTTCCTTTTTAAGGGGTGTTATTTCTTCTGTGGGATCTGTGCCCCTTTTAGGTTGATTTTTATGGATTGACTATTACTTGCCCCACCTGGGGTTCTGTCGGCCTGAAGGCCCCATCAGCCTTCTCACAGATGTCAGGTGGGACAGTCGCCTCCGGATCCTCCCGGGCACGTCAGGAGCACGGGAGGGGAGCGTGTTGGGCGGGACCCCTGAGCAGAACTGCTGCTTCTCGGGGGAAAGGCTCCTGGAGCCGGCAGTGCCCAGCCTCAGCCCGGCAGTGCGAGGGCAGCCTGGCGTGTGGAGAAGCTGCGTGAGCCCGGACCCCAGGCCCGCTCGGCAGGCTGAAGGAGCTCAGGTGTTGTCCTTGCCCGGTCACTCCAGTGACCGTCACCGCAGCCGGACTGCTGTTGGTCAGTGTGGTGTGTAGCGCTGAGTGTGGGGTCTCGTCTACGAGGAGGTCCATTGGCTTGTTCCCCACCATCAGTTGCACCCGGGGCTCCTGCGGGGAAGGAGTAATAGGTCGGGAGGGGTCTGGGGGAGCCCCGGGGCCTCCTCATTCGCCATCAGATGCGTCGTTCCTTTCTAACGTTTCTCGGTAAGGGTTTCTGTCCTTTTTCCTTTTGAGTTCCAGGCGGTCCTTCCTCCAGGGGCCCCTCCTTGCGGTAGGCGCACTGATGGGCTCCCCGTGGGTCTTTCCCTTTCCCCTGGTCCCGCCTCTCCTCCTGCTCCCGCACTGTTTCTCAGGGAACGGCGGCTGCTTGAACCCCTTGTTCCCCAGCATGGTGAGCTTTTGTCTGTCCACCAGCTGGGAGGGATTCATGCCCCAGCTAAACGTTGGAGCTTCCTTCTGATATCCAGGGCACTTTGCCCAATAAAAGTCATGTTTACCATCCGGGCATTTTCTGGTGCCTGTGGGTGAGCATCAGTGAGCTTTCCATAGGCCTGACAGACCCTTTCTAAACATTCAGAAGGACCTGCGCTTGGGTCTGTTGAATGGCCTGGATCATGTTCAGGCTCTGTTGTCTCGCAGCCCTTTCTTAAGCCCTTCCAGAGTGCACCTTCGGTAACGTCTAGGGAGGCTAGTCTCCGCCATGCAGGTCCCAGTTGGGCTCTGTCGGGGGCATTGTCCCCCTGGTTTGGGGGTCCTGTTGGCTTTCTCTTGATGGAGATGATGAGCCTCTTCATTGATCTTATTTATAGCTAGCCCCGTTTCATCTGTTGTCAGAAGGAAGTTAAGGAACACCTGTACATCTGCCCAGTTTGGAAGGTGAGTGGCAAAAGTGGAGGTGATAAGATCTACCGTGTTTTGAGGCTCCTCCCTCTGTGAGGGGTGGGAATTCTTCTAAATCAGTGCATCTGAAGTTGAAAAATTAGTGTGGGCCCAATAGTAGCCAGTGGGCTGGCCTTCCATTTTATTCCCCTATAGGGTATTGCCTCAGGGGAGTTGTCTCACTTAGGATAGGAATGCTCCCTGGCCATATTTGGTGCCCTGCCCAATGGGTCTTCGATGGGGAGACCATTCCTTCATCACACAGGGGTGGTGCTGTCGCCCCTCTGGGCCCTGTCTCAGGGGCATCCAGCAGTGGGGGTGATGACAGGGGAATCTTCCTGCTGCTAATCCTGGGCCCCCTGGGTCAGGGCATTAAAGAGACTCCTCTGCTCATGTTCCTTTTCCTCCTGTGTCTTACTCTCGGGAGGGGATTGGAGGCCAGTCCCCTTCTCTGCGTCATTAGTTGGTTCCCATTCTTTGCAGAATGCTTTGTAAAGACTCCTGGACATAGGAATTTTGTCTCATTTCCCTGGCCATTGGCAAAACAATTTCAATTGTATGATGATATATTTAGGGAACTATTTAGGGGCTATTTTCCCCTATAGCCTAAGTATATATAGGCCAAGCAGTGTTACAATAGAAAACCAATCTCTTCTTAGTCATTGGATCATAGCTATAAAAGGACCAATTCCTAAAATGCTGCCCAGTTGGCTCCCTTCAGGAGTATAAACAGAACAACCCCTGATAGTATGAAAGTACAAACCCCAAATCATTACCATAGCAATTCCCCAGGCAAAGTGGGAACATATGAACAAAACCCGGACTCTTAATCCCATTAGTCCAAGTGAACACTCACAAGCAAGTCCTCACGTCTTATATTCTGCCAACTGGTACTGCAAGTGGACCTGACCAGATCCAAGTGGCATGAAGCCCAAGAGGCAGGGATAGAGGACCCCTGGTGTTCATGCCAGTTCAACTTACCCAATCTTGGAGTCTGTCTGCTCCCCAGAAACCCATTTCCTTCCACCAGTGGAGCGTTTCCTGGGGCTGACACCTTGAGGAGGAGTGCAGGAAATTCCCGGAGAAGTGCTCTCGGCAGTTGCTGGGAAATCCCTGCCGTCCCACTCTCCCGGGCTGGCAGCTGGGACCCCACCCTGGGCTCCAAGACTTACTGAGGTCCACACTGTCCCACCAGAGTTATCAAAAAACTGGAACAGAATAGAAAACAGAGGTTTGGCTGCTTATTGCAACAAAAGCCAAACTCATGGGGCAGGTGCTGGTGCAAAAGAAAAGAGGTTTATTCAGGAGCCATATGACCTGGGCTAATGGTGGACTCGTGTCTCAGAGACCATCCTCTTCCTGCTCAAGCCAATGGTTCTCAAAGAGAGAGGGTGGGGAGGGCTTTTTTTTTTTTCCTATCCATTCATCTTCTTAGATTTTGGTGTCCTCAGGCCCTGTTCATTTGTATTTCTAGCTTTTGGTGCGCTCATTGTAAGAACCTCCTCCTGCTGCCATCTTGGCCAGTGGGGGAGACTTCCCATGTGTCTTGACTGTCTGTGGAAACATCATCAGCATTATTCTCACACAGCCTGAAGCCCGTATGAACCTTGCTGTAGGACCATTTCTAAATGTGCCTTGGACTTAACAACTCTTGTCTTGAACTGAGAAACAAATTTGTGGAAACGACAGGACTCTGGGTTCCCCAACATTTTTCAGAGCTCTCCCCTCATACATCGCAACGAAAGAGTTCATGAGTCAGTGCTGTTTGGATCTCACTTGTGATCATGCTTAGTGAGCCTTTGAGAGCAGGAGAGAATCTGCGGAGCGGAGGCCGGTGCAGCCGAGCGCTGGGCCTGCGGCTCTGCCTGCGACTGACTCGCTCTTGTGTCTCATAGCACAGGTGCAGCAGTGACCCGCGGCCCTCGGCACCCGTCGTCCTCGCCGTCCGTCAACGAGGTGTCTTCAGTGTCCACAGAGCCGACTCTGGCCTCAGATACCGACAGCAGCCTGGAAGCATCAGCTGGACCTCTGGGCTGCTGCAGATGACTACTTGGGCCTGGGGGTGGGGCGGGAGGGAGGGGTCGTTTAGTCATTGCTAGAGCTACTTTGAAAATTAAGTCAGTGGTCTTATTTTGAGTGATTTTTAAAAAATGTAGACTTCATTTTGTAGTAAAGTAGTTTATTTTTTTTAATTTCAAGTGATGTAATTTAAAACTTAAGTTGTTTTAAAACAGCAACAAAACTGTATTGTATTTTTGCTGTAATTAACTGTATAATGTAAACCTAATTATTTTATCATGGTTTAAAATTTTTGCATATTTGCTTTATCTTATGCTGCTGATTTTTTTTACTGAATTTGTAAGATTTTGTTTATCAAAGCAACTATTATGTGGTGATTTGCCTATATCATGAATTATTTAAGATTTTTATAGTTTTTTTTTAATTAGAAATTATTTCAAGTGTTTTGTTCATGATGTTATCCTTCAGGGTTATGTGCTTACCAATAAAATAACCACAGAGGAGTGAGGGAATGTAACCTATAGCCAGTTATATTCAGGAATAACTACTGTAAATGATGAACGTGTTTTAAAAAACCTCCAATATTGCTACTTGTCAATCCTAATTTAATTACAACAATTGGTAGATAATCCTACATGAATTTTGGCAAAAGCCCCATCATCTAAATGGCAGAATAACTCAGAGCATGTCTTTGAAGATGCTGGGTTTCCACCACCCCCTTCCATTCCCTCCCACCTCACCCAACTAAAGTAGAGTAAACTCAATTTGGCATTTCCTGCAAATCTGTGGCATGCTCAAAGCTTACGATCACATAAATTCGAGGATAAATCATGAATAATACATTTCAGTGCTAATAAGCAGATGGCTCACTTCTAGCTATGAGCCTGTCTTTGTACACACTGAGCTGATCTCAGGCTAGGAGGCCCAGTGATGGTCTAGAGTCTGGCCCTCCCTTTCCTGCAGCTCGGGCCTTGGGCCTCTCTGGTTCCTGTTTGAGCATCAGTCAGTTGGATGCCAGCTCTGGTGTTTCTGACCATTTGATTCTCCCTGTAGCATAATCATGTTTATAGTAGCCGTTGGGAGGTTCCAAAGCCTACTTAGATTCTGTAGGTGATGTTTCAAATGAGCAATATACCGTTCATCTGAAAATAGTAGCACACAGCCATATATAAGATGTCGTTTTCCAAGGACTGTTTCTCTACACTGAGCAGAGCAGGCATAAATGGTGATTATTTAGTCTGAGTCTTTCCTTTGTTGTGTCTGATTTTCGATGAAACACGCAACGTGGATGTTGAGTAGTGAGAATGGTGCTGCTCCCAACAAGTCATGTTAACTGTTTACATTTTGTATCTGCAGACTCATTTCTCGTAGCCAAGTTTTCTTAAGTGAAGTGTCATTGACGTCTCGTCTCTGGATGCATTGTCCACGATGCCCCAGGCGCCTGTGCTGCGTTGGAGCAAGAGGGGCTTTCTGTGTGAACTAGGAAGCGCATGGACGCGGGCAGGGTTCTGGCAGAAGGCTCACTGGGGCGCACGGCCAACAGGAGCAGGCGCTGGGGCTGCCCACACGCAGTGTCCGGGGCTCGCCTGGCATGTGATTTGTATATTTAGTGCAGAATTCCTTTGAGTGAGGTATTTTAGATCATTGTTAATGTGCAATATTTAAGATTAAAATACATTAGCCTTTTATATGCTTTGAAATAGCAAGTTTGTTTTTGATGGTTTAAAGTCATGGTTTCCAGTCTCCTTTGAAGTTGTCAACCTTCTGTCAATCCTTTTTCTACTCACAACATGGTGCACTAACCTCATGAAGCAAAGTCGAGTTTGGAGACTAACAGCTTGAATGGTAGAAAAGGATGGATTTATGGAGGGGTTTGGGCATCATGTGTTTCCAGTTTGTGTTAGTCTGACAGCTAGCGAGCTCTGTTTTCTGGGCTAGGTCATCTCACTAGCGCACTTCGCAGCCATCACGCTCTCGGGAGCTTCCCGGCGTCCGGTTGCTCGTCCACTGTCTGCTGACCCAGGTTTGGGTTAAGCAAGGAAGCCAGGTGGTCTCGCTCTGTCATCGTAAATGCCAGCTCCCGCTTGCCAGCCCCGTGTTCCAGCTGATCCAGAGTGAACCCGTTCATTAATGGAGACAAAAAAACTTAAATTCTGTCTTGAAAACAAAGTCTGTTTGTTAAATGTTGTGTGCCCTGGGTTTTTAAAATGCAGTATCTAAATACAACTTTCCCTCTTAAATTTGTTAAGCTAAAGATATACATGTTCATTTTATTTTTAAAACTTTGGAACCTTTAAAAGATCTTAAACATTTGTGTTTGTTTTGTTTTCTTAATAGAAATTACAAGTAAGATTTCTGTCCGGCAGTACTTAGTGTAAAGCCACCTTGCTCATCCCGTAAACTTTGGTTTTTCAACGTGACACGTAATGGGCCCCTCGTCTCACTGTTAGGAAATTGTTTGACCAAACACTAGTTCTGCTCTGACAGGTCAGGGAAGGGACACTACTTCTAACTCTCTCTGCGTATTTCTTCCCAGTCACTGCTGTGTTACCCGCTAGCGTATATGCCATTTGTCAGATATCGTGGTGGTGTTGGGCATGCCAACCCTTTCACGCTGTTGCGGAGCCGCACACACTCCTCCGGGGTCAGCACAGTGCGTTCACACCAGACTTCCCGAGAGGTGCCGGCCTCTCAAATGGAGCGTCCGCCTCCCGCTCCCAGGCCAGAGGTGGTGGTTCCTCCACGCTCATCCTACTGTGTCTAGAAAGGTGAAGGTGAGGGAGACGCGCGGGCAGCTGTCGGGGCACAGCTGGGCCTTGGTTCACGCCGCCGGCCGGCCAGTGTGTGCCGCGGTGGAGACCCACCTGCTCAGTGCGGCCCGGCAGGCCGGCACCGCCGGGGAAGCGCAGCCGTCAGCAGCACTGCTGCGTGGGTGTTCGCGGCCCCACGGGCGTGGACTCGCAGCCGTGCCCAGCGGCCTCCATGCTGGTGGGAGCCACACACCCTTCTGTCCTTAGATCCTCGTAACTGTTGACCCCATAGCCTTGACATTTTAGTATAGACTGTTTCTACTGATCTCTCAGGTTTTTCTGAATCAGGGGAAACGAATGTTTTCTTAATAGCAAGAAAGTGGAGGCCAAGGGCATTGAAGCAGAGATGTGTCCTTGGGGCACAACTAGAAACTCCTAAGGGAAACAACGTCCTGGTTAACGTCACACTAACTGCTCCTAGTTAAGTGCTCTGGGAAGTCTGTAAGAGGAACACTTCTGCCATTTCTGGTTTAGATTCTCTTTGTTACTGAAACTTTTAAGGAATATTACCTGTGGATTAGTTTTGCACAATGTTTTATTCTCACAAAAACTTGCAGATTAAACTGGGTTTGTATCGAGCTACCTCGCCCTGATTTCTGTGCTTCCCAGCGAGCTGTGGCCCTCGCACTCGCTCGTCCCCGCCGGTTACGCCCGTGCTGGGTTCTCCGAGCAGCCTGGGCGCAGGGCCCGCAAGCAGCGCTGCAGCCGGGCGCCCGCGGGGACCTCCGCTGTGGCGGGGAGTCTGCTAGACGTGCTCCTTGAGCATTCTCGCTGTCCCCTGCTCGCAATATCAGTCCATTCTTTACATTTTACAAAAGGACTAAATCTTAGTGAACTTGATGAAGAAATAAATTACTTTTGTAGGCCCAATATTTGGTATATTTTTGAGAAGGTCTTAAACTTTTTGCCAAAGGATGAATTTAAATTGAACTAGCTGTCTGCCTGGATGGTGACATCTGTTTTCTCATTACAGTTTATCCTGTTCGGTGGGTGTCGGGCCCTGAAGACCTGGCATGGCCACTGACATCCGCCCCGTGAGCCAGCCCTCTCCACCCCTCTCCGGCCCCTGCTCTGCACCAGCCCAGCGGGCCTTCGTAGGGAACACCGAGATCATTGCTGTGGTTTCAGTCAGTCATGCCCTGGTCACTGCCCATGCTCCACTGCAATGTGAACACTGTTGTCTAGTATGTTCACTGGCTATATTTTAAATAAAAAAGAAAAAAGTGGTATGAAAACTACAAAAATAAAAGTGTTCTCATTGAAGAAAATGTGGATTTTCCTGATCTGGGATAGAGTCTCTCCGAGCGGTCTGGAGCTGCCCTGCGGGTCGGAGGAGGGCGATGCTCAGGCCGCTGTCCTAGACGCGGTCGGAGGAGGGCGATGCTCAGGCCGCTGTCCTAGACTCCGGTCTGGAGCTGCCCTACGGGTCGGAGGAGGGCGATGCTCAGGCCGCTGTCCTAGACGCAGGTCGGAGGAGGGCGATGCTCGGGCCGCTGTCTTAGACGCGGGTCTGGAGCTGCCCTGCGGGTCGGAGGAGGGCGATGCTCGGGCCGCTGTCTTAGACGCGGGTCTGGAGCTGCCCTGCGGGTCGGAGGAGGGCGATGCTCGGGCCGCTGTCTTAGACGCGGGTCTGGAGCTGCCCTGCGGGTCGGAGGAGGGCGATGCTCAGGCCGCTGTCCTAGACGCAGGTCGGAGGAGGGCGATGCTGGGCCGCTCTCTTAGACGCGGGTCTGGAGCTGCCCTGCGGGTCGGAGGAGGGCGGTGCTCGGGCCACTGTCTCAGACGCGGGTCTGCACAGGTCGAGGAGCCCGAACCATTGCCCTGCTTTTCTGGTTCATCGAGTCTTGCTTTTCTGGTGTTTGAAAGTGCAGGACAAACTTTATCTTAAAAAGGAAATTTGCTTCAGTGCCCTTAACCTAGTTCTTGGTAACATGGCCACTTGGAGAAAATAAATACTGACCCAGGACCCCTTTCTAAACCAGGGACTGCAGCTTTGAGCTTGCTCCAGCGTCCGCCGCGCATGTTCTCTGCCCACATCGGCCGGGCTCAGCCAGCCGCTCCCATGTGTCTGGGATGGCGACACTCCTTGCTCAGCTCTTGTTCGGGTGCCCTCCCCTCGTGCTGTTGGCACCTCTGCTCGGAGGAGGGGCGGGGCCAGCGGTGTGCAGTCCCCTTGCTGCCCCAGTGGCACCCCCGGCCTGGGCGGGGACCGCACCCTTGCTCACCAGGGACTGCACGGGCGCTGGTGGGGCCCTTGAAGCCATCGCCTGCATGTGGATGACAGTGGAGCCGCACCGGCGCGTGCCTGAGGACCATTTTAGCTTTCACAGCCGCCGCACCACAGGCCCTGGACTCCATCCTGGACTCCACGGTGCTGCAGCCGTGCTTCGTGAACGGCAGGCTTCTGTGCTTCCTTCGTTTTCTCAGCCCGTCTGCGCATGTCCGCCCGGCCGGAGCGGGGGCGGGGAAGGAGGCGGCGCCGCCGTCCACCTGCAGGGGCTCCACCTGCAGGGGCGCAGAGGGCCTGGTTCTGGGCCTGCGCGAGGACGGTCCAGGGGTGTTACCCC